CACGCGGAAACGCAGTGGAGAGATCAAAACAAAACAACGGTCACTAATTAGAAGTACAAAACGAGGATTTGTAAAGAAGAATGTCAGAGGATTTTGATATAAGCCAAGAGGAGACTGGTTTTCCTTTGCTAAAGTATGGAAACTTTGCTTCCTTTGCTCCTGTAAACAAACGTTGGTTTTCACGAGACTCACCGGCGCATGCACAACACCGACATCTTGCGTCATCCTCCTGGAGCTGCTTCCGTGTACAACTGGTGGCGCAAGCTAGATTAAAGTGATTATTACATTTTGAATATGGATATTTTTCTTACAAAAACACATAAATTCGCAACAGTGTGCCTTTGTTCACACCCCACCCCCCGGATTTATTTCACTTCTTTTGGACTGATGAACTGCAACACCCACTGACTGCAATTAAACAGCTTGGAAGATTAAAGACAATTTTTAATATAACTCCGATTGGATTCATCTGAAAGAAGAAAGTCATATACACCTAGGATGCCTTGAGGGTGAGTAAATAATGGGCTAATTTTCATTTTTGGGTGAACTATCTCTTTAAGATTTAGGCTTTGTATACCTTAATTCAACTTGTACAGTTATTCACTGTTTATGTAATGTTGTTTTATTGTTTTTATTTGTACAGTAGGCTAACTGCAAATGTTTCAACAAGGATTTCATTATCAAGATACATTTTGAAGCAGTTAATGATTTAAACGCTGGTTAAATTAAAAATTAATTAAACAGACATACATAACATTTTACTCCTATGGAAACTGTAATGCTAGTTAAACGCCATAGAATTTGCGCAATCTTGAAGAGTCTGAAGTACATGTTGCACAATCAAGACACAAAAATACACAGATCATAACATCATTCAGAGAAATAATGCTGAGAGCATACGGTACGGACTTAAAGACATGAGCTTTATTTCCAAGATGATGCCTGATGAGCTTTGAACTTCAATACAGTATAGATCAGTATTAACAGAGGCTTGTATTGTAATATTTATTCGAATCAATTTCTGATGCTAATACCAGATATTAATATTTCCTGCATAATTACTTGCATAAAGAAATATATTTTGTGGATATTTTGTCGCTTATCCTACCCGAAAAGACCATAAACATTGCAGATAACATCTTAAATAACAATTAATTTACATACACATTCACATACACTTCAAATGGGGTGATTTTAGGTCAAGGTTTTGTTTGTCAGTCAAAGATGCTCTCTGCCGGTAGGGAATAGTAAGATGGCCACTCGAACACTTCCGGTGGCTTCACAGCCAAATGGCAGTTTAGAGTGCAATGAGCAATCCAGTCATTAGATCAGATGACATTTATACTGTCACAAGTGCCTCAAATTATGTTGTTCTTTCTCAATCCTTATTCTCCTTGTATAGGTGTAGATGAATCTTGTGAGATACCATTTCGCTTTCATGTTTTAGGTGTTTATATTTGTGATTTTTTCCCCCCCCTAGATATAAATGAATGTCTGTTCAGTCCATCTGTATGTGGTCCAGATTCTAACTGCACAAATGAAATAGGAAGTTACAATTGCTCATGTCTGGATGGATTCACTGCAACAAAC